CACAGGATCCACCAAGGTAACCAGTGACCAGTGTGGGAGCAAGGCAAGTACATGATCCACCAAGGTAACCAGTGACCAGTGCGGTAACAAAGCAAGTACAGGATCCACCAAGGTAACCAGTGACCAGTGCGGTAACAAAGCAAGTACAGGAGGACCAGAATACTTTTCCATTTCATAAACATTAAAAACTGTCTACACTTCAACTTCTATATAACTCAATCCCACATTTTAAATCTGAAATCAACAGCTTCAATCCCAGTCAACCCTTCAGCAATGTCAAATTAAATCAAGAGAAAACAACAGAACTCTCCATTAGTTACTTTACAACTTTTGAAAACTCCATCAGCTATCAAAAGGCTGGCAAGGCAAATTCATCAAGTGAATCTCTACAGAGTTAGTGCAATAAGCCAGATGACAAAGTGCCCCCTCCACCGGGCACAGGTTCTAAGGCCCCAGGGAGAACCAATCCCTGCAAACACGCTCATACTGCCTCTTCCAGCCAAAGACAAACTACATGCGTGGTGCTGCCTCCATAAAATTGCACAAGCTAGTGGCAGCATAACCATTTTGGCTTATGCCAGTCCTTCCTAAGCTTATACTCTCAACAACAAAAGTGCCAGAGAGAATTCTGTGAATGTCTCTCAAATGGTTAGGTGATGCAGGGCTGTACTGTTTTTCTTACACATACATACTGATGATAAACTTTAACTTATAGAAACAGCAAAAAATTACTGTTAATAATTTTTACAAATCATAACAATATTCTGTAATAGGTTATTTGAATCAACAAATTATTGATTCCTAAATTTTCCCCACTTAAAACTGTCAGAGCAGGGTTGACCAGAAGTAACTAAAACCACGGGAAACAAAACTGGGATTGGGATCAGGGCTAGCAGATCAAACTCTTTTTAAACATCCGATGCCTAAATCTGGATTCTGGGCATATAAACACACTTAATCTATCTGTGCCAGTCTTATTAGAATGGCCCCCATAAACTCATATGTTTGAATGCTTGGTTCCCAGCTAGTGAAAATGGAGAGGTACAGCCTTGCTGAAGGAAGTGTGTCACTGGGGGTGGGCTTTGAGGTTTCAAAAGCCCACATCATTCCTAGTGTCTGTCTGTCCATTCATCCCTCTTCTTCCCATGTCTCCCTCCTCCCCTTCCACCTGCTGTCTGGTTCAGATGTAACATTCTAAGCTACTGCTCCAGTACCATGCCTGACAGCTTCCTACCAAGATGATCATGGACTAATCCTCTTGAAACTGTAAGCAAACTCCCAAGTAAATGTGTTCTTTTCTAAGAGTTGCCTTAGTCAAGGTGCTTCTTCACAGCAATAGAACAGTGACTAAGATACTATCAAATACACATCTGAAGAATTTATTGCAAGAGGATTAAGGTGGTATTTTCAATGTTACAACTAACTTGCTACATGTAATCTTTAACAGTGTTTTAGCCACACTTGAGGAAGGAAAGGCCCCCTATTAACAGTGCTATGTGCTCTGTCCCCTTGAGCTTAAGAAATAGCTAGCTCCACAGGGAAACGGTCAGAGGAGACATGAGTGACTCCCTGAATGTGTTTTCAGGAGGGTTAGGGATGAGGTGATGACGCATTTATTAGCTCTTTCCATTCAGAACAGTTTTCACTCCAGCTTGCCGTCTCCTCTCTAGCTCTCTGTGTCCTCGAGAAATGGAGATAACCAAGGAGAAGTCTTGTTGCTCTCACCTGCACATATTCCTGTCTTTGTTCCTAATACCATGGAAGAAGATCTCTCTCAGCCCAGTTCCTCTCCTATACACAAAGATCCTGCCCCTGATGCTGAGCCAGAGGTACCACTCCTTAATTCTTTCTTCCACTTTCCATTTGTTCCAGCAGTACATATAGTATTGTTCATTAAAGAAAAAAACCCAAACCCTTCTTCCTAGTTTCTGTACTCCTCAAAGCCACTGCCTATATATACTCCTACTGTCTCGGCCTTCTCACCTCTCAATCCCAGTCACGCAAACACTCCAGCCACACCACTCCACCAAATTAACCTTCATGGAGATTACACAAAACAAAAACAAACAAACAAAAAACATCTCTCTCTGGACTCTCCTCAGATCCCCTGCAGTCTTTGGCATGGCTGGCATTCCCTTCCTCTTAAACACTGTTCTCACTAGCTTTCCCAAGACTCTACTCCCACAGGCCAGCACTCCTCAGCACACTGTGGATTCCCCTTGGCTCCCTGGGTCACTGGAATTCTCCGAAGCTTGCCTTTGGCCTCTTCCTTCTCCATTGACATTTACATCCTAAGTGACCTCTAGTAGCCCTGTATTTTAAGAAACCATCTACAAGAGGTGAAGCTAAGCTGCAGTGATATAAACTAGAACAGTGTTTACCTCAGAGGAAGGAGAACTCTGAGGAGCAACAGAATCCCTCTACATAGGAGTGTGGTGGTGATCACAGGTATACGTATTTGTTAAGTTGTCAAACTGCATACTCAACATCTGAAAACTTCACTATATGTAAAATCCTGCCTTAGAAAAAAGGTAAATAGGGCTGGTAGGCAAGATAACTCCAAGGAAAAAGGTACTTCCCATGTTTACGTCTAGAGACCTGAGTTACAGCCCCAGATCCTACATAAAGGGAGAAGAGAAGAACTGACTCCATGTTTTCCTCTGATCCTCATATGTGCTCCCCGTGAAGATCTAAATAAACATCCAATACATATGTTGGTGACTCCTAAGTAATTATTTGTGGTCCTAATATTTACAGCCACACACACTAACTTTACATCTGACACCCTCACTTGGTGTATCAGTGACCATGCCCATAACCAAATTCTTACTCCTTTCCCAACTTAATTCCTCTACAGTCTTCTCCTTCTCCAGTGGCAACTCAATCCCATGATGCTCCAAGCTTGGAAGCTGCCTGACTCTTCTCTCTCACACCTCGTACTCCACCCATCAACAGATCCTACAAAGATATCCAAACTCCTTCTATAGCTACTAAATTAAAAGTGTAATCTCTACAACCTAAAGAAAAGTGAAACAGAAGAGGCTGCACGCAATGATGAGTTGGTATTTTTTTAATTTATAAAGAGAGAAATTATTATTATTTTTATCACATAATAATGTGGTTATACATTTTCTAACAGAAAATCTTTTATCCAGAACTCAAACTTTCAACATAAGGAGAAAAGACACATGAGCATAAAATCAAAACAACAAATGTCTAGGGAGGTGAGGGGCAATGCCTGTGGTGGGAGGACGGTGGAGAGCAACCTGGACTACAAGAAGGATAGTGAGATCTTGTCAGAGACAAACAAAAACAGTAACTAGTCTACAATCATAAAATTACATTTCAGTTCAAGCACTGACTTACTTATCTATGTCTATCCTAACAAAACTGTAAGAAAAACTCTAATCTGTAAACAACATCAGCACTCAGGCTGTGGTCACTGAGTCCCTGCTGGCACTAAAAAGGACCAACATGCTCTGAAGAACCTGCTGACTCTAGATTGGGAAAGAAATGATAGCTAAGAAGGATTAACAGTATTATAAGACAAAGTCATTGCTATTATGAAGGAATTCATTACAAAGGCTTACCTGTGCTAAATAAATAGCAAGACCCAGTCTTAAAACAAACAAACAAACAAACAAACAAACTTTAGTTTCAAATCTGAAGAAAGCAAAATCAAACAAAAACTGTGAGATAATCAGACAAATGTTACAATAGGTATTTGATATTAAAGAAAGGAACTTGCTATTTACAATGGAAATATAAACTACAGAAATAACTTTAATAAAACTTGTTAAACGTAGAATATCTGCCAGGTGGTGGGGGCATAAACCTTTAATGCCAGCACTCGGGAGGCAGAGGTAGGTGGATCTGAGTTCAAGGTCAGCCTGGTCTACAGAGTGAGTTCTAGGACAGCAGGGGCTTCAGAGAGAAACCCTGTTTCAAAAAAACAAAACAATGGAAACTCTATAGACATTATAATTGATACACTTATGAGCTATTTGTGCACACAAATGATCATGTGATCAGCTTAAAATACGTTCACCCACCTACACAAATAAAATGTGCAGTAAATACACAACAATCTCAGCAACGGTTTTCCCTGTGTGAAACTGTTAGCTTACAATTTTTCAGTTTCTTCTCTCTCATCTTTAAGTGACATAACTCTTGACACAGTAGACTGCTGATGACACTGTCCATATCTGTCTCTGAAGTCTGAGTCACAGGACATGCAGACGCTCTTACTCTAAACATTTGCCTACAACATGTCATGTGGATTTCTGTCACTATCCAAGTATCCTTAACTCCTCTATGAAAAGGCCACACTGGGGTCAGTCAGAGGTTCAGAGGGTAAAGCTGACAAACCTATTGACCTGATTTTGATCCTAGAAAAGAAACAACTCCTTTATTTCCTTTTGACTTTCATACAAACACCACAGCACGTGTGTAGACACACACACATGCACACGCATGCACCAAATCAGTGGGAAAAAGAGCATTCTGGGGGAGCTCATGATAATTACACTGATTCTTCTAATGAAGAATGAAATAAAAGACAGATGAAGATCTTTCTCCAGCAGGAAAGGGACTGCTGCATAGACAGCAGAGGTGCTCAGCGCACGATACGTTATTTATTTATATACTAAAGATTTGAGAGTGAAGAAAGCAAATGAAGGGGAGCCCATGAATCAGCATAAGCTAGCTCTTGTCTTCCTTAAGAGGAGATTCACAGCAACTGTACCAAAATACACAGGAATTTGAAAGAAACAATGTGAATGACATGTTTTCAGGTCATGTTAAATACAATGAAGAGAAAGGTAACAGAGACAGCCCAGTCAGATCTTTAAAATATCAAAAGCAAAGCTAAGGCTAGGGAGATGGCTCGGCAGATAAAGCCTGCCAAGCAAATGCAAGGACCAAAGTTAAACTCCTGCTTCCATATGTAAGATGGACAGTGACTGAGGAACTTGTATCACTGTCTAGTCTAAACACACACAAACACACACACACACAGACACATACACACTCACATGAACATTAAAAAAAAGAAAAGAAACCACTGAAAACTGTAAGTATTCACAATTGGTGAAGTATATGAAAAACAAGGTCTGTGTATGTGTGTGTGAGTGCCATGTCTCACTATGTAGCCCAGGCGGACTCTAAACTTGAGATTCTTCTACTTGAGCGTCCTGAATGCTGGGTGACATGTGTGCACGGCCATGCTCAGCATGTCAATGGGATTTCTGGTTCTTCTTAGGCCTCAATTAGAGGAAGCCACTAAGAAAATGGGACCTAGTGAAGACCCTGCAGAGGAAAAGCAGCAGCACATGTGGTATGGGTTAGTGAAGCAGACGAAGCTGGATGTAAACGGTGCCATGGCCCTGCGTCTACTGTAAACTGTGCCGTGGCCCTGCGTCTACTGTAAACTGTGCCGTGGCCCTGTGTCTACTGTAAACTGTGCCGTGGTCCTGCATCTACCTTCCAGTTGTGTGTGCCACTTTGGTGAGCTCATCAAGTCTTCCAGCCTGCCTCACGAGTGATCATATGCAGCAGTCCTCCTCCTGTGCGTAGAGTGAAGACTATGAAGCAGTGAGTACAGCAGCAGGAGGCCCTGCTAGTCCACAGCAGTCACTGATACACCAGCCTTAGCACTCCTGAGCACCAATGGGGTGGTCAACTGAGATAACTGAGATACATGAGGCATCCATCGTGCCAAGGCGGCACTGGGAGGTGCTGGGAGAGCAAGGAGGACATTTTGGAAACATGATCTAATCATTCTAAAGTATTTTAAGACCACTTTACTATCAAGAGTGTGTGTGAGTCTGTGAGTGTGTGTGTGTGTGTATGTGTGTGTGCACATACAGAGGCCAACAATCATGTCCAGAGTTTTCCTCTATCACTTCCAACCTCGTTTTGCTGAGGTCACTCACTAGAACTGGATCTCACTGGCTGGCTAGACTGGCTGGGCAGAAGCCCACAAGATTCTCCTGCCACTGAATCCTCAGCACAAGAATTTCAGATCTGACACTGCTTATCCGATGGAGCCATCTCCAGAGTAATGAAGATTTACATCTTTTTCTTCTTGTTGAAAATGAAATATTGAGAATATGTAATATGGCTCTTTCAAAACCCTAAAGACAAGGCCAGGTTAAATTCAAGTCCTGATATTGTGAAGCCCAAAGTCAAGAAGCCAGACAAGTTTGAGTAAGGGATCTCTCAGGTGCTACTCGCACAGGATATGAACTCAGATCCCAAGGCCTAGCTCCAGGAACTCAACATCACCACAACCAAGGAACTCGAAGCTGGTAGTGCTCAGAAGCTATCATAACTTGTGTGCCAGCTGTGCACCTGAAATCTTCCCAGAAAATCCAAGTCTGGCTAGTTTGTGACTAGAAGTGAGATGCATGTGGTCTTCACTGCTCAGAGGTGGGTTCTGCCCAAGCCAGCTCCGAAAAGCTGTGCAAAAATAAGCAAAAGCACCCAGAAGCCGCTCCTGACAGCAGTGCATGTCAGCAGCCTGGAGGAGTTGGTCTCTCCAAGTCAAACTGTGGGGAAAAGGATCTGTGCGAAACCTGATGGCAGACAGCGATAAAGACTCACTTAGACAATGCATATACAACAACATGGAGCACAAGGTCAGAACTTTGTCTAGAGTATATAAGAAGCTCATGGGCGGGCTGGAGAAATGGCTCAGTGGTTAAGAGCACTGACTGCTCTTCTGGGGGTCTTGAGTTCAAATCCCAGCAACCACATAGTGGCTCACAACCATCTGTAATGAGATCTGATGCCCTCTTATGGGGTGTCTGAAGACAGCTACAGTGTACTATAAATAAATAAATAATAGAAGCTCATGGACAAGGATGTTAATTTTAAAGGCCCAGAGTTTCAGTTGTAAAAAAAAATGGCTAAATAAAGTGTTATTTATAGTAAACAAACAAAGTAGTAGTAATAATAATAATGATAATAATAATGTGGCCAGCCTATATATACATACAGTGTACGAACACAAAACCTCAATGCTGACAATCCCAGATTGGAGTTTTAGCTGAAAGAGTCAACACATGTAAGCAGAAAAGGCAGTTATCATGGACACTGAAGCAAGTGAAGAGTCTAGATTAGGACTACACAAATGGGGCCAGGACAGTAGCTCAGCCAGTCCAGGTTCTGGCTGCTGTATCAAGAACCCATGTTCAATCCCCTGAACGTATACAATAGGAGAAAATGGATTGCTGCCAGCTGACCTCTGACTCAACAAATGCGATATGACATGTGTGCAGAAACAATAAAAGAATAAAGAAAGAAAGAAAGACTAGAACTCTACGAATGAATCTACAACTTAAACACAGACTGGTCCCAAGAACAGGGTACTAGAGTCGTGCTTTTAGAAAAGGCTCTCTACCCAAATTAACTAACCCCTGAGAACCAGTGTGAAGGGACCAACCAACAATATATAAGGAACACACAGTTTCAGAGGCCAATACACACAGAGCATAAAGCTTAAAACACAAATGTATACACTTAGAAGGAGAGATTAAAAGAAAAATAATCAATACATAATGAATAAACTAAATATACAAATCCCAAATCATAAATGAAAATTATATCCATTTACCTGATTGTTTAGAATTTCTTTCTTTCCACTGAATATTTTTGCATTTGATCTGGTTTTGTCTCTCTTTGCGGAGTCGTTCTAATCTTTGAGCTTGAAAAGAAATATTATAACTATAAGTTTGTCAATGAAAGTTTACTATAAACAAAGACATAATTAACTACCTTTATATGAATAAAGATGTTTTATATTGCATATGGAGGGAGAAAGTCATAAAATTTTAAAGGTGGCACCCCTGAAAAGCAAATACCAACAAAAACATGAAAATATTCTTGATTTATAATTGAAATTAGAGGATATAAAACATTAATAGAGATCATAAAGATAGTATTAACATGGAAGAGAATAATAAAATGTGAAAACTTCTGTGATTAATATGACATTTCATTATATAAATCATTAATAACGGTCTTAAAGGAATTTTAATGCACAAATGAACTGAAGTGAATATTACATTACGGGAATAAAATTACTGTTATGAATTACTCTACACGTTTCAAAAATTAAAGATAAATGAACTCAGACTAGACTATTAAAGTTTTAAATATAAAATCCTTTATCTAAAAATCATGAAAATTATAAAATGTCAAAGCTATATAAATTAGCATAGCTTTTCTTCAGTGGGCTGAAACAGTTTATAGGTAGTAAAATAAATGATTTGTATCTTTGTAACATTAGTCAAATCTTAAAAAGAACAATTTTTCTTTAAAAAACTTTAAGATGTACTGAAAAGATTAAAAACTAAATCCCTTGATCACCAATACAGTCCATAGTTTCAATTAACTGCTACAACCTCATTGTTAACTAAAGAAATTTCAGCTTCAAGAGTCACCTAAAATTACACATTTATGATTATAATACCACTGGCTGATCAGCCTTCAACCTTCAAAAACCAGTGGCCTAATCCTTCAAAGAGAGATGACCAGTATCCATTAGCAACTGCTGCTCAAGGCTACAACTGAGAAAAGTCAGAGCCAAGGCCTCTCTCAAAGCCGCTTTCTCTTGCTCATTTTCAACATCCTGTTAAGGTACACACATTTGACAAGAAAAGAAAGAAAGAAAGAAAGAAAGAAAGAAAGAAAGAAAGAAAGAAAGAAAGAAAGAAAGAAAGAAAGAAGGCAGG